CCATCTGGTATTACCCAGAAGCCACCCTGACTCTTGTGTTTCAAGCCGTGTTTATATTGATAGTTCTTATGTCTAGATGCAGCCTCACACCAAAATGGAATGGGTTTCACGCAGACTCTCTCACTGGTACATTTTCATCTTTAAATCACTTCTTGGTCTGCTGCCTTCATACATCTCCTCCTTCATGTCTCTGCGTGAGTGAAGCTACAGCGTGCACTCTCAGGACATTATTACCTGCAGTGTTCCCTTAGTGCAGACTGATCTAGGCAAAAGGCTCTTCTCCTACTCTGCTCCTGTTTCCTGGAATACCTGATATAAAAATATGTTTTATAAGGTGTTAAGTCGCCTTTATGCCTATTCAAACATATACTTTGTGTGTGTGTTACTTATAATATTTAGACACTCTTTGATGGTTAGCAGAGGGACGAAGGGGGCAGTGTATCCTCTCTAGGAATGCTTTAAACAAGAAGAATTGTTCGTCAGCTTCATTTGCGAGCATGGTTTAAAGAAGATTAACAAAATGGGAAAGAAGCCAGAAGGCCTTTCAGTCTAAAATCTGCGGTGCCCGTACATGCGCACAGAGTTCTACAAAATCTCAGCTGAACTTTCTCCCTATAAATCAGTTCAGTGATGACCCATGTTCGACACGTCTCAGAACTCTGGTCTCCTTGCTCTGCTGGACATTAATGCTATTTTGCAGTTTATAATATGATGAACAATGAGGTCAATGGGCACTTTGTAGAAAAAGTTGTTAATTTTTGCATGGATGCATCTCAATTTCTTTACTAAAAATCTCATTTTATCATCTCCAATTATGCAAAATGAAGGCTTTTAGCTTTCAAACATGAGCATGAACATTTTACTTTAAAAACACATTAATGCTTCAAAAGAACCAACAATAAAATGACAGAGTCATCTACTAATGAAGATGAAAATGTAATCCTTTTGTTGCTTTGAATTCATGGTTTTGAGTTGCTTTAAAAACATTTTAAATTATTTAATAAAAATGTTTTATGTCCAAATGAGTTCAAGTGTCAGCTTGATTGATTTTATATTTGACGCTGGTGCGTCATGAGGCATGAGGCAATAAAACCACCCTCTTCTGCCTAAACTGACACGTTGGGAAATTTTTCATTCAATCTTTATTTATACAGGTTAGACTCATTGAGTCACGAGGACTCATTTACAAGAGAAACCTGAATTTTAACAAAGTGATGACAACAGTGGACAACAACAAACATTCACAAATGATGCATACAAATTCAAGTTTTTTTTTGTTTTTAACAATTTAACAATTAAAAGGCTAATTAAAAGGAAAAGTAGCGAAAAAACAGCTAGACAGCAAAAACAACAGCAACAAAAAATAAACCAGCTAAAAATATAAATAGAATAGAAATAGATAAAATAGATAAATGTAGGAAACATGAAGAATTTTTAACTTACCTGTAGATAAACCAATATAAACACTGAAAAAAGAGGAAATGCAACACAGTCTAATTTAATCAAAAGAACTTCTAAACAAGAACAACAAGACAAACAAAATGAAGTGGCGTGTGACGTGGCTGAGAGCCACTAAATGTGTTCAAAACAGCTGATACGGCCACCTTAGTTCAAAAGATTTATTGGACAACCAATTACAAGTATTCAGAGTTCATAACATCAAATTACATGTATGCATACAAGAGCATTTACCGAACACCGACCTGATCCCATGAGTCTCCAAGCAAATGCTCATGCTGCAGTCTGCCCCTGGACCTTTATCACAGTTTTGAACAGGCTCTGCCTCTGATTGGTTTAAACAACCCGTTGTCACGGTTACGGGGCTCTTCTGCTTTGCTAGATATGCCCTTGAGGTTACATACCATAGATAAAGAATTTTATTGCTCTAACGCTGGTGTTTTTTCTGTGAAGATTCTCTCCTCTAAACTGATAACAATTGTTAAACGATTAAATGCTACTTTAGTCAAACTATATTAAGTCTAAGTTAGAGAAATGTGTTCTAGATTCTTTTATGTTCATCAGTCTGTGTGTGTGTGTGTGTGTGTGTGTGTGTGTGAGCGTGTGTGAGTGTGTGTGTGTGTGTGTGAGCGTGTGTGTGTGTGAGCGTCCATACTCAGAGACACTTCCCTGGAGTCTAATCAGTATCTTACCTGCTCTGAGTCGCTTGTAATTATATCAAAATGTGAACTTGTTAGATTGTGAATTTATAAGATTGACCCTAACTAGCGTGAGATTATATATATAAAGTGGATACTCATGCAAATTAATTGATTAACATTTAAATGATTGTGAGGAAACTAAAGAAAAACGACACCCACACACATGATATAACCTGAAATAATAAAAGATAAAACATTAAAACCAACACGTGTCAGAAAAAATCTGTCGGAGTCAGTCAGAGTCAGTTTATTTGTGACGAGATTATGTACACAGGGTCCCAGCTACATCCAACAATAAAATGTAAAAGAAAAACGTTGGTTACGTACTGTAACCCCAGATTCTATGAGTATAAGCGTAGCGCTTTAAGGCTGTCGCTTGGTGGGTTTATCCCGTTATGCGGAGCATTAGCACTGAAAAATTTAGTCCACGCCCACCTGCTGTGTGGGCCCTACCCGGTCCGTATAAATTACATTAAGAGCGGGAAATCGGCTCCCAAAATAGCTTTTTCTTCAGCCATTTAGGAGCCAGTGAGGCCCGACGCTTAAAGGGCTACGCTTATACTCATAGAATCTGGGGTTACAGTACGTAACCAACGTTCTATTTCGTATAAGCTTCGCCCTTTAAGGCTGTCGCTTGATGGGTTAAGGGCGAAGCAGATGTGGTCCTCGCCTCACTGGGTCCATTCGAACACCGTATGAAGCAGAAGCTTGCCCAAAAAAAAACGTCTTTTCACTCAGCTCCCTATGTGCGTAATTACGCATTGCGTAATTATGTGAGCCATGCACAGACGCATGTTGTGTAACTATGCATTCATGGCTGAGCAGTATAGACAGATTAATAATAACAAATGACTGATTATCAATCAAATGAACTGATTGGTAACAATAGTCATGAACTGATTAGTGACAATAGAACCAAAATAACAGACACAACTTGTGGCTGATACACATCTCACACTGTGAAGCATGCAGACAGGTGTGAGCTTAAACAGAGTTCCATGAAAACAACAATATTCATTCTGTTAGAGCACTAAGGACAGAATGTGTCATGGAACGGGCCGTCACATCACGTAGATAAGAGCGAATGAATGAGCAGGGTGTTGACCACACGGCCGCAGTGCAAAAGTCCTGCATTGTCATACCATTATGCAAGACAGTCGAAGATGCGATACCCCTGGTCGAGTGCGCCCTGAGGTTGACAGGAGGCTCTAAAACTGATGCTCTGTAGGCTTCAGAAAGAGGCCTCACATAGCCAGTGTGACAAGCGCTGGGTGGATAACGGACGACCTGCAGGTGTATCTCTATAATGCACAAACAAATGTTGAGTTTGGCGCATTACAGCCGTGCGCACTATGTAACACGTCAACGCCCACACCGGACAGAAAAGATGGAAGATGCTTCTTCTGATCTGTGGGGGGGGGGGGGGAGGGAAAACCCCTCCAACGATATCTCTCTTGATTTAAAAGAGCTTGTGATGTTTTAGGCATAAAGGCTGGGTTTGGTCTTAAATCAGCTGAACTACCGTCAGCCTGAATTCTAAGACATGACGGAGCGACAGAGAGGGCAGATGAAACACTCACCTTCTTAGCGGATGTTAAAGCCAGCAGCAGGGCTGTTTTAAGAGACAAGAATTTAATTTGAACCTGATCCAGAGGTTCAAATGGAGCTTTGATCAGGGCTCGCAGGACCAGCATTAAATCCCACTGTGGCACAAGTGGGCGTGAAACAGGCCTGCGTCTCTGTATGCCTTTTACAAACCGCTTCATCAGTGGGTGATTAAAAGCTGTTCTGTCTCCGAACCCTTCGTGGCAGGAAGAGATGGCTGCAGCGTACGTTTTAATCGTACTGAAATGCCAACTTCCTGTCCATCAGCTGTGTAGAAAAGACAACACGCCGCCTAATGGGCATGAGGTGGCCTCTACACCTTTCTCTGTACACCAGCGCTGAAAAGCTGTCCACTTTGATGTGTACAGTGCTGTGGTAGATGCAGCACGTGAATCCTGGATTGTGCACACTACCTCCTGTGGGAGACCCATCCTCTCTAAGCGGGACCGCTCAGTGGCCGGACCCACAGGTGCTGGCCTATTTCTGGGTAACTCCTGATCGCTCCTCCTGCTTGGAGGAGAGCGTCCTCCCTCCACGGCAGTTTGCACGGGCGACCCGACAACAGACGTTACAGGACTGGGAACCATGGTGCGTTCACGCGCTCGGGGGCCACCAGGAGAGCTGTCAATCCCTCCTCCTGAACTCAGTTCAGGAACCGTAAAATCAGAGGAGGTGGAGGAAACGCGTACAGAAGCGTTTTGGGCCATGGGCTGTGGGCAAACGCATCCACCCCCAGCGGTGGTTCGTCTCGCGGGCTCAGGGAAAACCATAGTTGACACTGAGCGTTCTCTCGTGTCGCAAACAGGTCCACAGCTGCTTTGCCAAATTTCTGCCACGTCTGAGCCATCAGGTCTGGATGGAGAGTCCAGTCCGCGTGACGTGGGCCGCCCCTGGACATCACATCTGCCCCTTTGTTCAGAACACCGGGTATGTAAACTGCTCTGATGGAGAGCAGATTTTGGTGAGCCCAACACAGAAGCTTTCGTGCAATGTGTAACATCTGGGCTGAGCACACCCCCCCCTACCGGTTTATGTCTGCAGCAGTCACCTTGTTGTCTGTGTGAATCAACACATGTTGATTCTGTAGCGTGGGAGCAAAGTGTTGAATCACATTCAGCACCGTGCGACACTCCAAAACATTTGTGTGGGCTGATGTGTGATGGGGCCACAGCGCCCCTACTGCTTGAGATAGGCATGTCCCCCCCAGCCTGACAGCGACGCGTCGGTGAAGACTGACACGTGTGACATGGGCCTGCTGATGGGAACTCCCTCCGACAGAAACAGGGTGTTTCCCCAGTGTCGGAGGTCTGCTCTCACGGAGGGAGGAACAGTGATCATCCGTCTCTTTTGTTTAACTGGATCCACGCGCAGACGAGCAAACCATCTCTGGAGGCGTCTCATGTGTAATAAACCCAGCGGAACCACTGTGTGAGCTGATGACATCATTCCTAACAGCTTCATGACGGAAACAGCTGTTACCACTCTACCAGGTCTTATGTGGCAGAGTTGATTTTTTAAAGTGTCGATTCTCGTTTGTGATAAACGAGCCTTCATGGTGGTTGAATTTAACTCCACTCCCAGATAAACAATTGTCTGGGCCGGGAAAATCGAGCTTTTCTTCCAATTTATGGCAAAGCCCAGATTTAACAGGTGTGATGTCAACACCTGAGCCTGCATCACTGCTTCCTGTCTGGAGCGTGACCGCCGCAGCAGGTCGTCCAGGTAAAACAAAACTCTCATCCCTGCTCTGTGTAACGGATGCAGGGCTGTCTCCACACACTGAGAACGTACGAGGCGCGAGGGAATACCCGACCGGCAGCCCGTTGTACTGATACTTCATCCCCTGAAAGGAGAAAAACACAGGAATTTTCTGTGTTTTGGGATGATCGGTATGCGTTTCTCTGGATGTTGTTCAACAGCTGTCTGGTTGTCAACATGTGAAAACGGTCTGTCCATGATCGCCTTGTTGAAAGCTGACAGATCCAAAATGGGTCTCATCCCTCCGGTCCGTTTGGGAACCAGGAAGTAACGTGAGTAAAACCCTGTGTTTTCCTCTCCGTTGGGAACCCTGGAGATCACTTTTATCAGAAGCACTTGGACTTCTGCATTTAGGGATGAGATTTGGTCTGGTGATGACAGGACCGTCTCTATAACTCCTCCGAACGGAGGGGGTCGGGTTGCAAACTATAACTTGTAACCATTTGCATAACACCTTGTCCATCCATCTGACCGGCGAGCATGTTTTAGCCACTCTACGTAACATTCGTGGAGTGAACGTGCGTTTAAGTGATGCGTAATGTTTTGTACGGCTGTCACTAGTCCGCCCCTCAACCGCCGTCATGCGTCGCGGGAATGTTTTCCGCGTGACCCAGGGAAAGGCTTCCTCGAAAAGGCTCTGAACACGCCCGTGCGCTGCGTTCGGACCGCGGACCAACCAGGTGGGCCGGTGTGTGCTGAGGCGAAGCGTGTGACAGCTGATGACGCCGTGGGGCTGCGCGTTTGACGTCGCTGTGCGAACGTTGAGAGGCGGAGAGCGTGACTTCATCTACGCCGTGCTGTTGGAGTGAAGGCTGCGAGCCCCACGGGAGCACACGTTTTCTCTGGAGGGACGCGCGCCGCTCTCGCTGGAGGGACGCGCGCCGCTCTCACTGGAGGCGAGACTCGTTACCGGGTTCGTTCAGCTGTCTCACGCTTATGCTGCCGTGAGCTGCCGAGCGCTGAGACGCGGTGGGTGACGGCTGCCCGCATTTGCTTCGGTGAGACGTGTGTTGCTCTTGTGAGAGCGAGGACCTCCACCGGACCCGGCCTGCGGTCCCATATTTATACCGATGTGAGCCGGTGAGTGCCGGGCAGCTGTGTGTGCGCCATCATCAATGCAGCGCCGTTGGATGGAGGCTGTTGCATCGCACGAGTGCGCGTTTGACACCGCTTGGGTGAGGATCGTGCAGCTCGGGTTGACAACG